ACGATCATTTATAAACAGCATAACTTAACCCATATAAGTCAGTCGTTGAGTTCTTAATTATCTGGACTTTTTGACGGCTACTAATGGCTGGCTTCCACATTTGACGATTGACGGTAAAAATAATGCGCTTTTGACGTTGAAGGTTAATTTTTTTGGCCATTTGACAGTTAACGATTAACTGCACTTTTGATTATTTTTCGAGATTTCAATAAACAATCTGTTTTAACAAAAGAACTAGAGATTCAGTGCTATGCGCCGATTGTGTTGCGATTGTTACGCTAGGGAATAACGCAACCTTTTTGCCTTACTTTTAAGGAAAATGTTTGTGTATCAATGTTGCATGGCAAGTAGCGACATGTCGCGCGTATTACCACCGTTTCGCCGTGTACAGCAACATGTTCTGTTAAGGTGGCTAGATATTAACCGTGAACAAGAGACCACGATCTAGATCATCATCTTTTGCCTAGAAAGAGGCCAATATCCAGCCATCATGAGCGAACAAGCTTGGTCAATAAAGGATTTATTATCTGGGATAAAGAAACAGCGGTATACAGCTCGTAATCCTGAGCACACAAGGTAGCGCCATCTTGGCCGCTCGGGTAGCAATTCACACCTCAGTCGAACCTAAGGATTTGGTTCATATTTTTCACTCACGGAGGTGCAACCTCGTTGCCAGGTTGACGGAGGTGGCCATATAATAAATGAAGATAACGTCATTTCTAGTTCGCCTAAGAAGTTGCTACAACTCCCTAAAGGGTGGTTCCAGCAACAACGCTTTCAACTTCCAATTTTTAAGGAAGCATTGTTGAGCGACATTTTGCAAGGAAAATGTTTCCAGAATTAAAGTGCCTATAAACCCCCAAAATGTTTTTATCTCAATGAAGTCTTTATATGGAACAAAGAAAAATGCCGCCAAAATTTTTGCATTTGGTTAAAATTTTTTATGAATTTTCAAAGTGAGCGTCATTTGTAGCCTTACCGAGCAAAGGGGAGAATGGTATTAGAGACGTCATTCCAGGACTTTGCTCTCATCGCTTTGGTTATTCGGTGTTTTCAGCGTTTAGTATTTTATGAAAGAACGTTTATTTAACTCCAAAAAAAGTGTAATAATCACATCTATTGATAATGTCGTCCAGCGATACTAGCTTTGATTCAAGGTCGGATTCCGAGGCCGCAGAAACGGAGGTTGAGTACGACTTAGAAGTCGAGGTTTCGTAAAAAGCGAGCGAACAAGGAGACACCTCAGACAATGATGAACCAGAAGACGCCGACGCCAATGAGCCGTTAGCAGACGAGAAGTGGCTGGCTAAATATGAGGCAGGAGGACAAAAGGAACAAGAACTCGAAGAGACGCTACAAAGGTGAAGCAGAAGAAGTCAAAGAATGGTAAGTTTGTTTTGGGTTGCTTGCGATGCACCATTTTCGAGTGTACAGTTGTCAGGCGTTCATTTATAATAGTGAGATTATTTTTCTTTGCAAATTTTCATCCGTATTTTATTGACCAGGTGCAATTGTGCCAAATGCGGCCTTGCCTGTTTGCAAAACATCAATGAATGCTGCTGTTCCTGCGAGTTAGACGGACGTGTCGAAGCTTTAGAGAGCGACATGGAGCCAGGGCGTATGGAAAATACTGAATCCGGAATTGGAACCGGAACCGGAACCGGCACCGGCACCGGAGATATAAAAATTGGATGTTTTTAGGGTGTTACGGACAATAATTGCTCTAGCAAGAATTTTCATCTCCACACTAGTGGGAGATGTAATTGTAATAGAGATACTGAGTATCGTGTTTTTAATCTCCATGTTGTTTCACTCGTCGACGATTGCATGTAATCAAATAAAAAACGCAAATGTTGTAATTCCAATTAAACGCGACTTCCTGCTAATCGCAAAGATTAATACCCTGTAAGAAAAACCAATCTTTCACAATCACAAAAATTGGTTTGCGCAAAATACAAAAAATTGCCCATCCGCAAAAAAACACTTCCACAAAAATTTCGTGCCACACGGTATGCCTTGAATTTAAGCTCGATCTTTTACCTCATTTCTTTTAACGGGCGAATATAAATTGCAATGGATACGCATTTCGCGTTAAAGATATTTTGACTTAATTAATCTGCAAATATTAAAGGAAAAAACAAAAACAAAACGACATTTCACCGCGTGAAAGAGTTTACGTTTGTTTATTAAACAAAGGTATATGGGTTCTATTTTCTCAAGCGAACTTACACATCACGCTTCTACATGACTTCATAAGAAAAAAGCACTGAAAATGAAAATTTCTGCCCTTACAATTCGTACCTATTTCTTGAAAGGGCTCAGTGTATCATCCATTTCCAATTGAGAGAAAGGCAGCAAAGGGAGGTGTACTGATGTCAGTTATTCTTATTTGATCCCAAGTTGCATCATTCACGCGTATGTGGCTCTAGGGCCCATGGAAGATATGGAACCCGGAATCCGGAATCCGGAAACGGCGCCGGAACCAGACATATAAAAATTGGAGATGTTTTGAGGATGCTACTGACAATAATTGCTCTACCAAGAATTTCATTTCCGTGTGGAATATTATTTTCTTTATGTCAATTTTGGTCCGTTCGGGGCAAAACTTTTCTTTGAGACTGATTTCACATGGGTCTTCAAGATCTCCCCCAAGGAACAGAGCTAACGGGTATCACACAACATCCTGGATATCATTCCGTTTACCTCCAGAAGTGGAGTCTTGGACTGGCAGCGGTCTAGAAAATTACAGGATCTAGAAAATGAACTTACGCGCGTGATGTGCAAAATGTTCGCCAACAAAGACTCCGCTTGTCTTTTACCGTATTTTGAAAGTAGAAAGATGAGTGGAACTTAACTGGCTTGCTTAATTTATAGAAAACGTAAATACCCGATGTTTTGTATGAGGGCTGTGGTAAAATTAGCAACATGGGAACACCGAAACACCGGAACACCTGAGAACAACCCGGACCTAATTAATGCAAACCCCAAAAATACTATCCGCTAACTTTAATCCTAACCGTAACCAAACTTTACCTGCCGTAAACATTTTTATTTTAACCGGTTTCCGCCAGAGCGCGCCATTGCGGGAATCCCGCATTACAATCAGAGATAGCCCCCAGAAAAACGAAAAAAGGGCCAATTTGGCCCTCTCCTTTCACAGGACTGTAGGCTTAACACAGGCAGAATATTTTAAAAGCCATCCCAGGGCTCGAAATTGTGATCGATACGGTCGCCAATGCAACTCAAATTTCGTCCTTGGCGACCAAAAATTCTGGTTTAGTCGCCATAATAAGGCTTAATGGCGACTACATTTTCTCTATGTTGACGATCAATAACGGTTATTTTGTCACACATTATGTCCTTCTAGAAAATCATATTGAAAGATCTTTGCTTCTAAAACATTCCACATAAGAAAAGAAGTCAACCCATCCTTTTGC